ATGTCCAAATTGAACCTTAAGGGTGGAGCCGGCCTCAAGCAAGAAGGAAAGGCTGCGGTTAACGATGACGATGTCGATCAGACCGACGAGCAGAAGTTGTGGATTAACAGCGTACCGAAGGAAATTGCCGACAGTATCGGGGACAAGGAGAAGAAGAGACAGGAGGTTATCAGTGAGATATGCTACACAGAAAGGGACTTCGTCAAGGATCTCGAGTATTTGCGGGATTTCTGGATTTACCCTCTCAAGGGCAAGATCAACGGTCACTCTCCGATTCCTCTGCAACGGCGGGAGCGCGTCGTACGGACCATCTTTACCAACATTATCGATCCTCCAAGCATTCACGGCGTCAGTTCGAGGTTCGCCAAGAGTCTTACCGAAAGGCAACAGAAGACTCCAGTCGTTCAAAATATTGGAGACATCTTCATGGAATTCGTCCCTCAGTTCGAACCATTCATCCTTTACGGTGCGAAGCAGTTGGAAGGCAAATTTGAATTCGAGAACGAACGGTCCATCAACAAGGACTTTGCAAGATTTGTGGACGAGGTTGAACGCCGCAGAGAGTCAAGAAAGCTGGAGCTGAATGGTTACCTCACCAAGCCAACCACACGTTTGGCGAGATATCCTCTACTCCTAGAAAACGTTCTCAAGTATACGGAAGATGGCAACTCGGATAAGGAGGATCTTCCCAAGGTTCTGGTTATGATCAGAGATCTGTTGAGCAGGGTTAACGCGGAGTCGGGCAAGGCTGAAAACCGCTTCAACCTGCGCCGTCTGCACGAGCAGCTCAAGTTCCGCCCCAATGACAAGATGGACCTCAAGCTCACGGATGAGGGTCGTGAGCTTGTATACAAGGCTCAGTTCAAGAAGTCGCCAACAGAAAATGCTGATCTCACGGCCTTCCTGTTTGATCACGCCGTTCTTCTTGTGAAGATTAAACAGGTTGGCAAGACAGAAGAAATCAAGGCGTACCGCAGACCTATACCCTTGGAGCTACTTTCTATCAAGGAAATGGAGGAAATCATTCCTTCAGGGGCTGTCAAGAGGACTTCGTCAAGCTTGCTGCCTGCTCTACGCACTACTACCGACGCTAAGAAGGGTGATGGGTGGCCGATCACGTTCCGACATCTTGGAAAGAACGGCTACGAACTAACGGTGTACGCATCGAATCAGGCAGGACGACAGAAATGGCTCGAGTTCATCGATACCGCCCAGCAGCAGCTTAGGGCCCGTGCGGATTTCTTGAACACTACGATAATATCGTATGGTTACTTCGCCGGTCCCAACAAGGTCAACTGCGCTACGCCATTCGGTAAGTATCTAGACACGGCCAAGTCAAGTAACAGAGTTCTCGTGCTAACAAAAATACAGATGGTGGAAGGAAGATTATCTATGGTACGGACCAGGGTATCTTTGTCTCCGATCGTAAGACCAAGGAAATACCACCGAAGCGCGTTATCGATGTGCAAAACGTCACCCAGGTCGATGTTCTGGAAGAGTACTCCCTGCTGTTGGTACTTTCTAACAAGTCGCTATACTCGTACCAACTGGATGCGCTTAACCCTAACGAGCCGATCTCATCCAAGCGTGGCAAGAAGATCCAAAGTCACTGCAACTTCTTCAAAACCGGCATTTGCCTCGGCCGCCATCTCGTGTGCGCTGTCAAGAGTTCGGCACTCTCAACTACGATCAAGGTGTACGAGCCGAACGATGCCATGTCCGGCGCCAAGAAGCAAAGAGGTCTCAGCAAGATGTTCAACGCCGGCCAGGACGAACTTCGGCCATTCAAGGAGTTCTACATCCCAACAGAATCATCATCGGTGCACTTCCTCAAGTCCAAGCTCTGCGTTGCATGCGCCCGTGGCTTCGAGGTTGTCAGTCTCGAGACCCTCGAGACGCAGTCCCTTCTCGACCAGGCCGACACGTCGCTCGACTTTGTCCAGAGGAAGGAAGCCGTCAAGCCCATCCATATCGAGCGTCTCAACGGAGAGTTCCTCCTCAATTACAGCGAGTTCTCGTTCTTCGTCAACCGCAACGGATGGAGGGCCCGTCCCGAATGGCGTCTGGATTGGGAGGGAACACCACAAGCCTTTGCGCTCAGCTATCCTTGGATATTGGCGTTTGAGCCCAACTTTATTGAGCTCAGGAACATTGATAACCTCGCGGTACATATTGTGCCGCACAAGAATATCAGGATGCTACACAGCAGTACACACGAGGTGAGTCTTCTTGATCTAGATGTAGTCAACCGCGATAACGGACAACGCATAGCTAACACTACTGTCAACAGATTTTGTTCGCATATGAAGATGAGCGTGGCGAGGATATCATTGAGGCCATCGATTTCTGGAAGAGTCAGAAGAAGTCGGCGGACATGTAGATGTAGTAGTCATTCTCCTCTGCCATCATTACCGGTTAACTATTTAAATGTAGGTATATGTGGGCTGGCAGCTTTAATATGTATCTCGCGCAAGCGGCGGTGGACATAAATGGGTGGGACCCGGACACAAGGAGACATGATACACAAACAACAACAATTTTATGGATATGGAAGAAGGGGCCAAGAAGAAGAAGAAGAAGAAGACGAAGAAGAAGAAAGGGCGGGGTGTTATTGTTGCTTTCATCATCATCTTTTTTTACCTACTATTTCTTGTTTATTCTTCTCTCTACTCGTTTTTTGGTCCCTGATACAGAAGAAGAAGCAGCCATTTACACATACTTTTTTGTTTGCAAGCAAAAAAACAAGGAAGAAAGGAAGAGATCGGGAGAACGGAGGACGGCAGGCACACACACACCACACACACATTTATCAAGGCCAAGGCTTCCTTCCTACTCATCTCATCTCATCTGTTTCCTCTCTCATCTCTCTCTCTCTCTCTCTCCAGTAATTTTTAACTACCCTCTTTCTTCTTCTCATCCAACCTAACAAAAAACAAAGAGTCGTCATGGTCATGGTGTTGTTGTTCCCTTGGTTCTCTTGAGAAAGGCAAAAGAGCAACTTGAATCCGTCCGTCCCTCCGTCTGCTACTTTCGCCTTTGTGCGTAAAACTCCACTCCACTTCCACTAAATCGGAGAGAGGGTGAATGAGAAGTGAATATTCCCACGTAGTATACCTACCTACCTACCCTCTTCCCAAGACTCACGAAACGAAACAAGAAGAAACGACAAAAGGACTTGTAAGTGGATTGTGAGAGAGAGATCATGGTGGAAAACGTGCCTGACATATACCCAGGACAGGTACAACTGATAATCGCAACAAAAGAACCAGATACATTAGCTTCGTTGACACTTAGGTCCGTCCCTGGAGGTATAGAAGCTCTAGACCATAACCCCACTATTCACACATACATGTACGCCCGAATATACATGCCTCTTGTGCCTGTAGACGCGAACCTATTACATATTATGTTCCTTTTCCGTTAGTTATTCATAACATCCAAGCACCCGAGTGGCTTCGTAGTACCTCTCTACCTCTCTACCTTTGAAACCTCGAAATCATCTTGGACCCGCGCCAGGTTGCCAGGAGTGGTGTCTGGCATTGAAGTCGCCAGCGAGGAGTGCCCTTGTCGTTGGTTGCCAATTTTGCAGTAGCTCGAGGGCCGACATATCGTTTGACCGGCGGTAAATGTTAACGAAAGTGACACCCTGAGTCTCTACCCATAGTAGATCTCTGGTATGGCCGAGAGTGAACCCTCCTGCTGCCATTCCCTTACGAACGTACGTGGCGACGCGTGGGTGAGTAGTAGTCTCCTTTGTCCATGTGCGGACAGGAGTGTAAAGAGCGTAGAGGGAGTGCCCGGGAATACCAAAGCGGCCCTCGTGGAACCACGCTCGTGGCTTTTGGATCATAATCACGTCCGCTCCAGCCTCACTAGCAGCTTGGAGGGCAATTTCGTGCGTGTCGCGTGCCTTGTATAATCCTCCTGTAAGCAAACTCAGCATTCTCTCCTCCTTCAGTCTTCCTTGGGTTTCTTTCCAGGATTGTCTTCCTAGCCTTTTTCTTCACAGTCTCTTCATAATTTTTTCTTTCTTTTTCACATAATCACTTAAATGGACTCTTTTGCTTACTCTTTGCAGGCTCTCTCTTTTCGGACTCTTTACGATCTCTTTAAAGGTGTCTTCACAATCTCTTTACGGACTCTCCAGAATCTTCGCGAGTCTCTTTAGACTCCCCTCTCCTTATATTCTCTTATTTACATTGGTCTTTCCTTTTCTCTGCCTGTATCATCTCCCCTTAGATATAGTCTCTTCATTGTGACCATAACTGATGGGATGGAGCTTGGGAGTAAATCTGACATGTATGGTAATCTAGTCTACCAGAAAAGCCTGGACCCTGTTCCGACCAAAACGCTATTCGATTCCCAGAGCCCGCCCCCTCGCCCCCGACTCTAACCCCCACTCCGTAGTTCCCGTCCGTCCCGTTGCTTTTTTTTTCGTCCGGGCCGGAGTGTCCGGGGTTCCCAGCTTGCCGTTTTGGGTCTACGTGTTGTCGTCCTACATTCAATGCTCACTTCCACTCCCAGTTTCAGTTCAGTTCCGTCCAGTTCCGCTCTAATTCCTGAACTTCTTGGTGCTTTACCTTGCGACGTATTTGCTTCGGATCTAATTTGGTTAGCCAAATCCAACGCAGGCTGTTGAGAGTAGAATTATACCAAGAAACATACTACCTCTACGTAGAAGTGGCCTTGCAGAAAAAGTTTACTGCAGTATGGTCTAGAATACTTACTGCAGTAGCCCAAAATCGAAAGATTAACATGGAACTTCACGCAATTATTATGGGTTTTCCCCCAAGCTTCTGATGACCTAGCACTTTTCTGTCCGTTAATTTCTTCCACGGGTATATAGCTGTTAAATATCACACACAAGGTGTAAGCTAACTGAAGAAACCCCATTGATTTCCGTCTCTTTTCAAACAAGTCTCTATAACCGAGTCACCACATCCTTTTTCAGATTACCACTCACATAAGTAATCCACCCCAACCCCACACCTCTATTCTATCTACTGCGTCTTCTTAACAGTAACCTTCTTCCCCTTGGCAACAGCAGGGGCACTATACATCCAAAGCGCCACGAAGCCCAAAAAGCCGCTCACCGTGGCGCCGATACCGGCAATCCACGGCCACGCGCCGCTGATGACGTAGCTGCGTGGCCACTCGTCGTGGGCCATGTGGCGGACCGACACCGTGTTCTTCACCTCGATGTTGGTCAGGAAGGGCCGCTTGTAGTTGACCTTGAAGTTGAAGATGCCGTGCTGGTCCGGGATGGTGAAGACGGTGCCGTAGTGCATGGCGGCCAGGCGGTGCGACTCCTCCTTGAGGTTCAACCGGTGGAAGGGCGAGAGCATGGAGAACTCGAGCTGGACCTCGTCGGACTCGGGCACGTTGAAGCCGATCCAGTGGTCCCAGGCGTATTCGGCGAGGGAGATTGTGTAGGACTGTTGTGTTCACGGAGGAGCGGTTAGTTATTGTAACAAGAGGGAAGGGCTGAATAGAACAAAAGAGATAACATACCACATTGTTCTTCACCCGATACATCTCAGGGTTAGAATCATTCGGCGCTCCTTCCTCCTCCAAATGGTGCTCCACCCAGTTAACCTTGAGCACACCAATCTCCTGGAACGTCCAGCCGGAAACGCGCTTGGCAAACTCCCTGTTGAATGTCTGAACGACAGGCTTGCCGTCCAGCTTGGTCACGCTGGCGTCGAACCACTTGTCCTGAAACATCTCGGCCGAGCCGACCACCGTCACGCGCGCGTTGTTGCGCGCCTGCACCGTTGACACTAGCGAGAGCTGCTGGCCGGCCGCGAAGAGGTCATCAACGACTTCGGCCTGCTCCTTGGGGTTGTAGCTGTAAGCGGTGCGCGGGGCGCGCAGGATGGGGTTGAGAAGCTCGCCGTTGCCGAGGACAGCGCCAACGCCGCGCGGGAAGGCGATCAGCTTGCTTCCGGCATCCTCGCTGAAGAAGTCCTTGATGCCGGCGCGGACGGGCTTGGGCGCCGGGAGAAGGAGGACATCGTGCTTCTCGGCGGCGCTGGTGATGTCGTAATTGAAGTGATCAACGACGAGGCTGTTCCGGTCGGCGGGCAGGGTGATGTCGAGCTCGGAGAGGAGGGAGACGAGCGAGGTGGGTGTGGTCGTGTTGGCACTGAGAGCCAGCAGAATGTTGCCCTGGGCGTTGACGAAGTCGAGGAGGGTCTTGGGCGTCAGGTTGGGGCCGAGACCCTTGGTGTGGACGGGCAGGAAAAGGACGTGATCGTAGGTGCGCTCGCCTAGGTTGAAGAGGTTCAGGGAGTCGCTCTTTGGTGTTGCGTAAGTGATCTTGAATTCTCGTTCTGGGAGGGGATAGCTTGGTTAGCGCAAAGGATCCAACGCATCCGTCAATCCGTCTTCATAGTACTGGAGATTCACTGACCTGCTAGATCAGCGAAGAATTTGGAGTAGGTGGCCTTGTCGGCGACATCGTCCAGGACAACCAGCAACCTGTTGCCAGATGTGCTGATGGCAGCCACTACGCTCGCTAGCGCAAGCAACAAGAAGGATAATAGCGTCCTCATGATTCGTCCCTTGGTGTAGTTGGATCCTGGGAAGAAAAGAAGGACTCCAGGAACTCAGCACATGGGAATTGGTAAGGTAAGTAGTTGGTTGATTATCTTCCCCGTCAATGCTGTTCAGGTTGTCGTTCAGTCACCTAGTGGAAAGTTGTAGCTGTGGTGTTCAGTGCTTCCCCAATCGATAGCGCTGCAGCTTCCAGCATACGTAGCCGTTTGCCAAGACCTTCCCGACTGACCCTGGACAAGTCCCACTGGCACTGAGAAAGCTGAGAGCAACCCCCTGTTCGGTACAGTGGGTACCTCTACCTTAAGATTGTGGCTCGAGCTTCCTTCGAGCTTCTTGAGCGGGCGCGGACAAAGCGCCAAGAACAGTCGTGGGACACCCCGGCCAGCAAGAGTGGGCCGTCGTGGATTGCGCCGCAATTGAACTTCATGGAACCTCCCGGCGGGCGACGACGGCACACGCACGGCCTCCATCTCGAGTCGAATTCGCAGACAGCAGCTGCCGAGCGAAGCTCTCAACGACGCCCAACGCCGACGACGATAGTGACGAGAACAGGTTTCCCTCATTTGACAGGCCACAGTCAAAGCTAGAGGTATGCCAGCCCGCCAGCCTCAGCTTTCGTACCCCAATCGCATTCTCAGTTCCCATCGTCATCAGAAATCCATCAAGCCGAACTTACACCCACTCCTCCTCGAACTCCACCCCCGAATAATATCCACGAGTCAGTTGACTAACACGCTGCCTGGCCCCCGTGTGCCTTTCCGTCACCATAGAAACGAATTACCTACCCCGAAATAAAGAAATAAAAACAATGTCCGGCGCACTCCCTCACTTCTGGGCCCAGCCCTTCCGCTACATTCGCTGGTCGGCCCGCGAGAAGCCCGCCTACTTCTACTCGTGTGTGATCGCGGGTCTCGGTCCGGTCTTTTTGACGGTCGTCCCCCCCCGTGCGCAAGACTTTGGGGATGTCAACCCGGCGCCGATTCCTGTTACTTATCCTAGTACGTTTTCACGCTTCCTCTTTCCTCTTGTTCTTATACATTTCGGATTGGGGGGTGGAAATAGGCTGACAAGAACGATGTTTGCAGTTCCCACCGGACCTAGGAAGCAGTTGACGGGTTTCGGTGATGATACCGAGGAGGCATAGAGTGTGATCGTTAGTGGCTGGAGGGGGCGGGAAGAAAACATCAAGCAAGCGGATAGACAGGACGCTGTTGTTATGGACATAAAGGATTACAGAAACTTTAGACCACGCGAACCACAGAAGTCTGGACGAATATCAGAATACAGGATGATATCTATCAGAGACGAGACGAGAGATCGACTGGCTTCCTGTTCTTTGCCGTTAACTCTTCGCGTGGTTGCTGTTGTTGGGGAAATGGGACGAGCGGGAGTGTGTGTGCACATTGTAGGTTGTAGGATTAAGGTGAAGCAAGCCGCCTGGGACTTGAAGTTCTTTGGAACAGATGACGATGAGAGGACTTTGACCGTTTTACGACGTTTCTCCCAGTTGTAGACCGGGGGGGGGGGGGGCGTATGTCCAAAACTTTAACGCTATAAATGCTCGTAATCAACAATGATGAGTTTTCCAAGTAGCTCAACGGCATTGCATGAGACTTCTATATAACCCTCCTAGCTTGCTCGCTTTTCCTGATAACAAAAAAGCCACCACCAACAAATGCAAGGACGCTGTTCCATATTTATGATACTTTTTCACCCATCAGACACACTATCCCACCTTCTCCTCTACCACCATCGAGCAGATATCTTCTAACAGCTTACCCAGTTCACACTTACTTCCCTGTCTTTCCAAACCCCGCTGTACACAGACAGCACCCTCACACTTATCGCTCCCTTTGAATCAAGTTCCACTCGTACTATAACCACAAACCACTCGTTAGCATATTTCATTCCCATGTCATGATCAAAAAAAGAGAAAGAGAAAAGAACTTACCACCCGCCCATCATCGTCCCCCGTGTAAACACACCCCGGCATCGGGCTAATACACGTAATCGCCGCCTCCACATTCTGTCCCGTCTCACTCTTGGTATTGACGTGATCCAGTCTCCGTACCAGCTCCAACACCCACTTATTGCTGCCCGGTTTCTGATAGTCGACCGTCTTCCGCCACACATTCACCCTCCCGCGCTTGTGGCCGGTAAACACCAGGTTCTCCTCGACCCACTCGTTGCCGCCGCCGCCGACGGTGCTGGTGGACGTGCCTTCGTAGAAGGCGCAGGAGTGGATGTAGTCGCTATTGGCCGAGTCTGGGTCGGAGGAACACACGTTTTGGTCGAGGATGAGTTCGCCATTGAGCGTGTAGAGCAGAACGTTCGGTCCGCTGCAGAGCATGATCTCGCCCGTCACGTCGTGGATGCGCGCGCACTCGACTGGTCTGGCTAGGGGTAGCTTGCGGATAAACTCGAGTCTGTTTAAATCCCAGAGGAAGGAGATGCCGTCCTGCGAGACTGTCACAAACGTGCTAAAGGCCTTGGACACGGCGATGGTGGTCACGGGCATCTTGTGGCCGAACAAGGAAGAACGGGGCACCAGCTCGACGGGCTTGCCGGGGCTGGACTGGACCGTGTACACGGACACGACGCAGTCCTCGCCGGCGGTGATGAGGGTCTTGGAATCGGCGAAGGTTAAGGTCGAGAGCTGCCCGATGTGTAGGTTCTCGAAGAGGCCGGCGGGCTTGCGGTCGTTGGTGAAGAAGAAGCGCACGCTGCCGTCGGCGTAGCCCCATTCGAGGAACTTGTCGTATTGTGGGGGCAAGTTCAGACGGAAGGGCGAGGCGCAGAGCAGGCGGTCGAGTTTGGGTGCGTAGATCAGGGACGATACGCGCTCGTGGCTGTCGAGAAGGGGATGTGGTTGCTTGGTCAGAGCGTGGACGGAGGTGTCCAGTCTCTTGATGGGACACCTGGCGTGCTCGCGCGCGGGATGTGGTTTAGTGAACACCTGATGAGGTGTCTGGCCAAAGTTGTGGATGATATTGGTCGCAATAAGACGCTCCTGGGGATCGGAGATGTTATCCAGGTCTTTGCCGCCTTTGTACGATAACGGGTGGAACACATTGCAGGCTTCCACTGCCGCATCTCCGCGCTGCTTGTATCCGAAGACAAGATCAATCCATTGGTGCAGTCTCTGACTGACATACGGGCTCTCGAGCGCTTCACGGTTCTTGGCAATGAAAATCTTGGGATCTCCCTTGGCCCACGGTGGCAGGATGACATTATCTACCTTACCGCCATCGCCCTGGCGAGTGCCAAAGTTATACCCATTGATGTTGGTCAAAAACTCGGGAAGGTAGAAGAACTCGGGAGTCAGCTCACGGACGTCGGTGCCGTTGTCTTTTGAAGCGGATTCCCAAGCACCTTGGATCGAGTAGAACAGCCTGTCAGCGTGGTCAAACGAGCCACCCTGCATCAGTATGAACGTCTGCACGAAAGGTGGCAGACGAATCAAGTACGACGAGACGATCATGGCCGACGAGTAATGGGTACCGTAATGGTAAGGTTGTTCATCCATCTCAGCCAAGCTTTGGTACTTGGCTATAAAAGTTTCCATACGGCTCTTCGTTTGGGCACCCATGGGCTTCGAGAGATCTCTGAACGTAGCCGGGTCATTAAGATCGAGTTCCTCGCTGGTATAGTCTGCCAGCACCCAGGGGAAGACGGGATACTGCGTGAGATCATTGAATGTTCTGCCAGCCATGGTGTTGACCAGCATCAGATAGTGAAAGTTGGAGATCTCACCCTTCTGCCACTTCCTCATCATAGGATTCCAAGCAGAAGAGTTGAAGATGCTTCCGAACTTCATCCCCAGAGTCTGCGGTGCCTCTTCACTAAACTTGAGACTCTCAAGTCGCCAGGCGTCCTCGGGCGTGGGTAGCAAGTTCGGCCCGTTGCTGTGAGGAGTCTTGTTCATCATCCGGTTGTAGATCTCGTCCCTCATGGCAGAGTTAAGAGCTGTAAACAGGTAACTCCTACCATCGGTAAAAAAAATCTCGATGGCCACATCGCGAAAAAGGAAGCGACGTTTTGAAACACTAAGAACATCCTGCCACCTCCAGCTGCGCGACTCCTGATCGGTACGGTTCTGGCCTTGCCTGCGGTTGTCATTGCTCTGGCCGGAAATCATGACCGAGAAAGGATCTCGGTCTTCCGCGGGTGCTTGCCAGACGTTGATGATTTCTCCATCGGGGCTCTGGAAGAGATTATCCATCAAGTACAGGGCCTCCTTGCCGATAATCAGGATACCCTCAGATGCATCTAAGCCGATGATGCGAGAGATATTGTAGACATTTTGCACCGTATCACCCTGCTGTAGTCGCCGCATGACCTTCCGGTTCTTGTCTTCAAAGGCATCATCTTGTTCGTTCGGATCATCCACAAGCTCGTAGTCATCCTCGGGTGAGACACTTTGTTGGTCAGAATCGCCTGGCGCGAGTTTCGGCGCTAGGTTCGTGTTGGAGTCACTTGCGGACTCAACTCCTGCGGTTCTGCTCTGCGTCTGGGCGACGGACGAAGGCGCACGGCTTCTCCGACCAGACGACGAGCTGTTACCCGCGGCTAAACTTGAAGCCGGAGCGCCGCTGCCAGCATTACCCCTCGGTTGATAATCCGGTTGTTGCGTGGCAGCATAATCGGGGAGCAGCCGAAGACGCATGCGATTTCGACCCTCTGTGCGATCAAGCTTCCACTTGATTTTCTGCTCCTTGGCAAACACCGCACCAGGCCGGTACAGCTCGCGCTCCATTTTCGCAAAGGATGAAGCCAGGAAAGCGTTATCATCCTGCTGATCCTGCTGGAGCCTCTGGTGTTTGAAGTGTTCGGTGAAGTAGATGCTCTTCATCCACGTGTTGTTGCTCATCTCATGCCGAAGCAAGATGCTATCGCGTTCCATGGCTTCGGTGTGCCATTGTCTGAGTTTGTCCTTGCGATTCCTCATCCGCGACCTAGCGCTGTCTGCTGTGCGCTGGTTCTCAGTACGCACATAATCCTCCCATGTCTTGGACATGCCGCCGAAGAACAAGATATCGAGGGATGAACGATGACTGTCCACCCACTCGAGGAAGGACTGATCATCCAGCTGGGTGAGTCTTCTGAAACCCCTGGCTAGTGGCTGTTGGTCAGGGCTCATAAACTGACGGAATAGCAGCGATGACTCCTCGGGCTTCTGGACGAGCATTATCCTCCACACCATCGCTGCCATGAGACGGATGGGCTCGCGGGTGTCGACCAGCTTGTTGTATAACTGATACCAGAGGAGTTTCATGAAGTCATCATCGAGGGTCAAACAGTTCAGTAGGACAGCTTGCCAGTAGAGGAGTTTCTCCATGATCGATGTGGCTTCCTGGTCAGTTGTCTGCGGGTCGTCCATGTCGGAGAGCTTCAACAAAACAAGCTTCAGGAATGTCGCTCTGATGGTATTGACCGCAGAACTGCAAAGCCGGACACTCTTCGTGTTTGAGACATCTGGCCGCTGTAGATACTCCAACAGCGTTCCAGTAAAGTCAAGCATAGTCTCGGCGCCGTTGATGAACCAGCCCTCAAAGATGGCCTCTGCCATATGCATGTTGAGACGTGACATGTTCTGCAAAACCCTAGGTTCCAGAAGGGCCTTCTGGTCCAACTGAACGGCGTTTCTCAGCTGAGTGATGGCATTGCGTAGGATGTAGGTCTCGAAGTACGCCTGATGCTCCTGGAAGCCTGGCGGAACCTTGAGGAAGAGGCCGAATCCTGTAAAGTCCTTACGCGACAATATCTGGTCGTTGAAGACGCTGATAATGAGTTCCAGAATGCCCTCCAGAACCACGTTACTAACTTGCTGTGTGGCAACCTTCTTTTTCGGTGACATGATGTGGTTGAGACGGGAAGGCGGAGGTGACATGGGTTGGTCTTGAGCAACGAGGATAAAAGACGAGGGCCTGCGCAAAGGTGTACCGCGAGGTTGCCCCGGTGAAGGGGTTGGCTGCTCAGCCACAGCGATATTGGTCGTTCGCACGATCGGAGTTGCTGATGATGATGACCCGGCCACTGGCCGAATGATCACATCCACTCCGTCGAAATTGAGCGAGGAGTCCTTAGATCCAAGTTCAGTTTCGGGAGAGACTGGATCGGCACTAACGACGATAGGATACAAAG